AGCAAGCAAGCAGGCTGCAGACCCAAACAATGAGTGCATTTACATGCACTTAATAATCCAATAACTGCAGAAAATCAGATTTTGTCAGTAATCCGATCAACATGTTCACATGCACTTGGGGAAACTCCAGGTCTACATGAGTCAGGCAGTTATCCGATTTCTGCTTTACAACCAGCCAACCAACTCACAGAAGAAGATGTGACATAAACGTAATGTAAAAGTTTCAGTGAAGTGTTGCGGCAGCACCGTTATTTGCCGTCTGTTTCACACATGCACAGACTAAGAAATCTGAAAGAAATCTGAGTAAGAGTTTACATGCACTGAGAAATCTGATTACTGAGCTAAAATCCAGCTCTCTTTATCAGATTTCTATATCAGAGTATGGTGTTTTCATGACCATTTAAATAATCAGATAACTGCAAAAATCCAATTATGATCACTGTTACACGCTATAGTACAAGTTTGATTTAAATCCACAGCATATGGCAGCAGTCTATCAGCATATTCTTTAACAGTTATATTTTCTGGGTTGCACCATCTATCATTCCCCAAAAAACTAAATCCATCTCCTCTTTACCACTCTCTTTCTTTGGCCTCTTTTGTGTTCATGTATTCAGACGCAATATACAACCCCATTTCCAAAAAAGTTAGAACACTGTGTAGAATGTAAATAAAAATAGAAAAATACTATATTTGTAAAGGAAAATACTACAAAGACAACAAATTAAATGTTGAAACTGAAAAATTTTATTGTCGTTTGAAAAATATTTGGCCATTTTTAATTTGATGCCAACAACAAAAAGTTGTTGTGTTTTGGCAACTCTTCTTTTAACAACACTCTGTAAGCATTTGGGAACTGAGGAGACCTGCTGTAGTTTTGAAAGTGAAATGTTTTCCCATTGTAACGTGCGACCAGTAAGCAGACGCTCACGGATGTAAAACAGTGAAGAAGCTTTACTTGGGGATTTAGACAGAGATATCGTCGTCAGTACACAGGCATGGGTCAGTTCCAAAGTCAACAAAAAAAACACAGAAGGCGATCATAACAAAGTTTTTTTCAAAAAACAATAACATTTCTCAGTTTCAACATTTGATTTCTTGTCTTTGTACTATTTTCAATGAAATATAGGGTTTACATTATCTGCACATCATGGCATTTTGTTTTTATTTACATCTTATTTACAAGCGTCCCAACTGTTTTGGAAAAGGGGTTGTAAGATATGAAAACATTCTAGTGTGACTGCAGAGCCTGGAGTTTCAACTTCCTCCCATATTTTAGTGAAGCATGTGGGATTGCAATGTTTGTAAATCTCATGTGTAACCCTTAGAAAAAAAGTATTATCAAAAAAGAAGAGAAAAACTTGAGTTTTAAAAACAGTCAAAAAGTCAAAAAGAAATGTATAGTTCTAAAATGAAAAAAAGCCTGAAGTTTGGGAAATGCAGAGTGAATGAATGTTCTCAGTGCAATCTTATCATATGAGGGTCTGTCAGTATTCTTTTCTTTCTTTATAGATGGGTTTCCTATTTAAAAACATTACTGGGTGCATGGGGGCAAAATGTAAAACATTAATCTAACAATAGTTGACTATCAGTATCGGCTGGTCATCAGGGACGGTATTACAGAACTTCTAAACTCTGAAATCTTATCTGTTTAGTCACCATGACAGCTTCAGTTAGAACTGAATTTAGGACAAAAGCTGCTACAGAACAACAGTTTTAAAAGAGAACTAATTTAGAAGCGCCCTAACTGGACAAAATTTCTGAAATACTGTCCTAACTTTAAGACAACCCCAGAAGTGTCCTAACTTCTGTTTTTACCATTTGTTTATATCATTTTACGCAGTGACAGGCATAGTTAACTATAACTAGCATAATGAATACGGTGCTTTGACTTAGGAGTTTTTTCCTAATAGCGTTTTAAAAATCGCAGACATGGTCTCCACTGTCCCCTTTTATTACCTTCGTTGATATAACTTGTCAGATAAAATATTACAGTGATGTTCGTGAATAACGAGGAGACAGAGCTGAATGTGTTGCTGTTTATAAGGTGGAATAATGTTAGCGCTAAATTTTTGGGAGAAGACTGAATCTATCAATTTGGGGAACTGAAACTGAGAGCAGTGAAACTCTGATAAAAGTGAGTGAAGTGCTGTCACAATATTCATTACTTAATGTTTATTGTGCTTTAGTTTTGTTTTACCTTTTTACATCACTAATGGTAGCTAGCTGTCTGGCTAACCATCTTGATTACTTTGATTATGTGTTTACTTTTCAGCTGTGCCCCTGGCCCCTGGTCTCTATGAACCCGCCAAATTTGTTATCAACTAAATATTTAGCTAATAGGAGCTATCCAAATCACAAAAACCTTTATAGTTTGCTGACATGTACTGTAAGTTTTGCCCACCTTGCCTATTAAGCGGTCTAGATTTGTCCTAGCTAGATAATTAAGTTAAATTGGGATATATATGTTTAATTTGTCATCTCTCATATCTCATTAAAAGAGAAATAGAGGTCAGGCTGTCCAATATTGACAAGAAAAAAAGTAATACTGCAGCATCACATGGTCACAAGTGAACTAGCAATAGTCATAGCAAGTTATAGCAAGTTTTTGTTATTGCTCCAGGTTTAAGAACTGTGTTTAAAGTGTTCTTGTAATACTTAGCCTATCATGACTGAAAGGCATTCAGTCCCCCTGAGTGCTGCATTAACAACAAAAGTCTTTTGTTCTTTACATTTAATTAATAAAATTTAATACATCACTGTAAGACTCTTGTTTGGCTTTAGGCCCTGCTGTGCTGTTTGCTGTGAAAGATAATTAAATATTAGCCATCATTCATACATCTGAAATTGCGAGTGTCATCTGTATCGTCCATATGCCTCATGACATGGGTGCACGCAAAGGGAAGTTGGATTCTGCTGGGAAGACGGAATTTGGCACAACACCAGCATAAGTAGAGTTTTCTATGTGCCCACATAGCAGCATATCCAGTACACATACACTGCAGCCAGATCAACTTATTGGTTTATGTGAGAGTAATTTATTGATTTGTTTTGGGACCTTTGGTAATTTTATGTGTTGTACTGTGCACATGTTTGGGAGTATTTTAAGATTTAAATAGAAGGACCTCTGTTTTAACACTTCAGTACTTTGACCTCATATAATTCAGCATATTATGAATACTTGGAGATTACTCAGACAACTTAAAATTGTTTATCCAAAGATTAAATATATTTTTTTAAATATTTCTAGTTTTTATATTGGTTTATTTTAAGGAAGGTTTATTTTTAAGGAAATTAGATTATTGATAAGGAATTATCAATAAATAAGTGCATGTTGGGAAATTTTAAAATGTATGTGATTCTGACTTATGCTGTAATGTAATTGATTAATTTGTGCTGTTGATCTGTTGCCACACATTGCCATTTTATTCATGTGAAAAAAAATAACTAAACCTCACCACAGGCATGTATTAGCTAAGGTAGCATGTAGGTACTGAACCCAGAGCCCCATCCATATTACCAGCATGTAACTTTATGCGCTTTAACGGGAGAGGGGCACTACACATGGCCTAGAGCTGGTTCAATGTGTTGTCCAGAGATCTAGGTTGCACATGACAACCTAGCGCAGGTAAGGTAATTTCTCTTTTTCTCTAAAGCACAACTCACTACAAGTGGTGTCACCACAGGAGTTCCTTGAGCTTTTGTAGGTTAATGTCATGCCTTCTACTGTTGTGTTTCTAAATGCAAAAAAAGTACACAGGATAATCACAGAAAATATACAAAAAATAACAAGACAATAAACAATAAAAATAACAATAACAAGACTCACCTATCAGGAGTGACTGTACCTGGCAGTTGTTTGTCAGAAAGTCGCAAACTAGTCCCTGAGTTTTCACTCAATCTGCACAAATCTATTATCAATGGAATTCTAAGAAGTTGAACTTTAATAATTATCAAAAAAATGTTGGAATTTCATCACTGCGTATCGTCCAGGCACCACCCAATATATGTATGCATGTATATGCATGAGTTCAAAAATCATGCATATACAACTCTAACTCGGAAACTCATTGACTGATTGTTATGAAACTTCATAGGCATGTACACTATGGCAGTGGTAAACAATCTTCAGAGTTCAGTGCAACTGCATCGCTAGGTGGCGCTAAAACAAGCAAAAAAGTGTTACGCAGCCAAAGGTTGTCTGATTGACATGAAAATTGGCAAGTTGCTACAATGTCCTGTCCTAGATCAGGATTTATGAGACTGATGTCATATTAAAAAAAAACATGACCGCCATCAGAAAATGAGTAAATGTCACATCACAAAAATGAGTAAATGTTTTATACCGTACAGATTATAAACATGTAGTTAGTATCATGTAATGCTCTAAAGTGAACCTGACAACTTTGCAAATGCAAGTCATTTACTAATTATCACCATTTTTCTACAAATGCACATTGTTTGAATTTGACCTATATTGAGCTAGTCCTACAGTTTACACCTTATCATCTCAATTCTGGTCATAAACTAAAGATTGTAGTCTGAAAGTAAATAATTATCAAAAAATGTTGACTTTCTCACAAAACATGTCTGCAACATGTCAATGAATCCATCTAGGCAGAGTTTTTATGACTCCATAACATGTGTTTAGCTTCATCTGTCAATATGTGACATCTACATCTTTTCTACTAGTCTAAGGTTTTTCGAGATATCCACAAAATGTTGGTCTCAAAATGTTCAGGGGAGTCTGGAGGTCAAGAATTATCAAAAAAATTTGAATATTTATAAACACTATGGCTGCCACATGCCAATTAAACCCCTCTTGGTCTGGCTTAATTCACATAAATGGCTACAGATTGAGATTGCTTTGGCCAATTCTCATCAAACTTATCAGTCCTGTACCCCACATGATTCTGTGGGAGCACACCAAGTTCTGGTGTTTTCTGTTATTTTTTGTGATTTTTCCCACAGGTAATGACTCTATATTTTCTTCCATTAAGTTTGACAGAGAGCAGCATGGCGGAGCTTCCTGCTGAACAGGACACGGCAAAAGAACAAGAGAGTGATGCGTCGCATAATCGTCTGTCAGTGGCTCTGTGGAGCAGAATGTTGAGAGCAAGCATCACTGCTGGAGCATTTCTCCTACTTTATACATTCTCTCAAGTTACAGTGAGTTCACACACACTACACACTTTCAGCACAAACTGTATCTAGCCTGTATGTCTAGGGTATCTAGTTCCAAACCAACAGGGTCCAATAAAATTTCCAACAAAATTTGATGATTACCCTGCTGAAACACACCTTCTAAGCCTGACAAGGTTCACCATGACTTGAACCAGGTGTGAGAAGGCGTTTCTGTTATACAGAGCATGTTGTGTTTAGAATACACACACAGCATCTAAGCCGCTTATCCTTCTGGGTCATGGGGGAAGCTGCAGCCTATCCCAGCAGTCATTGGGTGAAAGGTAGGAAACACCCAGGACAGGTCACCAGGGAAGGCAGGAAACACCCAGGACAGGTCACCAGTCCATCGCTGGGCAGACAGACAGATACATTCACACCTAGGGGCAATTTAGCATGTCCAATTGGCCTGACTGCATGTCTTTGGACTGTGGGAGGAAACTGGAGCACCCAGAGGAAACCCACGCAGACAAGGGGAGAACATGCAGACGCCACACAGAAAGGACCCTGGTCGCCCCGCCGGGAATCAAACCCAAGCTCTTTTTGCTGTGAGGCGATAGCGCTACCCACTGCGCCATCATGTTTTTTCTATTCTAAAGCCTGCATCTTTTAGGAAGATTTGTATAAGACCACAAGTGAAGCACTGTTCGATGTAAGTTTTAAAAAAAATGCATTAAAAGTAATTTAAAAAGACATCATAGGGTATAAAATAAAGTAATATATATTTTAACATTATGCACATGCTTTCAAACAAGCAGTTGTGGGTGTGTTTACACTGCCTCACACATTTGAAGCATAAATAAATGATGAAGCTTGTATGATTTATATGATTTTCATAATCACCAAATCATTCAGTGACCCTTCATGGTTTGCAGTGACCCTCCGCTCAAAAGAGAAAAGTGGAACAAAAACTTACTAGCAAAATTTTACTCACAGCATTATAGAGCCACAAGTGCACCTCACATTACGGTTCATTGTCCTTTACTGTTCTCTTGCTGTACGCCATACATGCACTTGCCCATTTGTTGAGAATGCGATGATATATTTTTCCTTACACATCACATTAATGCATGAGCATCACTGTCACTGAATGTGTGCTTTTAACAAGGTTTCCAACCCTATTTAAAGAGGCCTTTCTCATATGCCAATATCACTTTAGTCATTGTTCCTATTGAAAGATTAACCAGTTGAGCAGTCTTTGACTGAAGTTCCTGCCATCCATGCCCCAATTACGAATTCCACTTAGACCTTTTCCTATTGTCGTCTGAGAAACTGAGATCAACTGCCTGCTCAGAATTTTTATACATGCCACAGAGCATAGTAGGATGTTAATTGTATAATCATATGAGCTATTAACACCTTTCTGGAAACACGGCTGATTAATTTTCTCTGTTCATTTCTTTAGATTTTGCTCTTTAATTTGTCACCCGTTTTGTATATTCACAATATACTATGTACTACAATTTAGTATGTCTTTGTTATATTGGAATATCTAGTCAGAAACAAGCATTAGCAACAATGAAGTAATTATATATTGCTCTTTATTTCAGCATAACTCACATTTTCATGAACTCACAAAGAACTGAGAAATCTCCTAGAATCATGTAAGAATGTCCTTTCTACTGAGCAGCATCCCAAACCCCTAATGAATTTGCAATTTAAGAAAAATAATGTAGTTAAAATCTAAGCTGATGGTGTGTTCGGACAGCTTTTATCAACTTGTAAGGTCAGAAAAAAGTCAAGTCAAATCATAACTACCAGTTGTTTACATTATGATAGTCATCAGCAGTTGGTAAACGTATTGCAAAGATATAATTACATAATTATATATTTAACCATTTTCAGCTCATTGTTGTGTGATAAATAATACTTAATAATAAGTACACAAGTACACAGTGTTTGTCATACAGGTAGAAGATGCTAAAACTACATACTCCACCATTGTCATAATAAGATTTGTTCATTTTTATATATGCAGTTATCTGGATAAATTTTGTTCACACCATCATAACTGAAAATTTTAGGAGCTTCATGAATACTAAAATGTTCTTGGAAGTGTGCATCTTGACATTTGCATGTATGTGTTGTTCAGGGTTTGTGGGTTCTTTACATGCTGAATGGATACAGAGCTTTTCCAGCAGCACATAAAGTGCTGGACCTCCTCCAATACCTTCTGTCAACTACTGACTCCTCTGACCAACAGGTGACTACTTACAAAATTATATAATTCATTGATGGTGATTTACGTAACGCATTACCACATTGACAGGCAGATTTACTAAATCTGCACTAATGAGGGTGGCCAATTTAGTGGGTTATCTAAGAAATTAGAACAAATAAATAAAATAGATGTAACTTCATAATTAACATGAAATCATCACAATTTAAGCCCTGTTTTACTCATATCATTTTTGTTTGGAAGCTTGTTTCTGCTAGGCAGGGGGGAAAAAATTGCTCGTATTTTTTCCCTTTCTGCTTCTGCCATTGGTATGTTCATATCTTTACTTTTTATGTCAAAAGTTTGACTTGTCGTAAAATAATGACTTGTTTTCTCTGTATTTTGTTTCGACTTTGTAAGTTTAAATTATGATTCGTTTTCTTGAGGTTTTCTTAAACTTAGTATATTGACATAATGACATTACTCTTTGACAAAAGATAAAAATACTTTGAGAGAGTAAGTTATTATTTTAAGACAGTGTTAATTTCAACCCATATTCCAAAATATTGAGAAAATAAGTAATTATTTCACCAAAATAATTCAGAATATTGAGAGGTCAAACATAAGCCAAAATTTGACATACTGTGACCAAAAATGGGGGAAAAACAGGTTACTTTTTACCCATAGGATGGTCATCTCTGAGCAACAACAACAATATTAGCACCAAAAATAAGAAACATTTTTCATAAGCATTAAATGGCATGCATAATCATCAGGTTACTGTTAAATATCAGTAAATCTAAGTGGGTTGTTTATTATAAGAATCTTTGAGTGGAAATCTTAGTATAGGCGCTAATATAACCATTGCATGTAATAAATCAGGACAGTCCATTTTTTTTACCATTAAATTTTTAATATATTTTAGATATGAGTTTAATGCATAGTTGAGTAGATATTGCAAACAGTCAGCTGTGCAGATCATGAAACTGTCAATCTTATCAAGTCTTTCACCTGGTTGGGTGGATATATATGCAACATTTCTCTTGTTGCAAAGAAATACACTGACACTCAAAAAGAATGGCTCAAATGTTGCATAATGATGATACTGATACACATCCAAAAAACAAATGCAAACAGAAACGCAGGTCCTTCTGTAGTCATGATAACCGCCTCACACCATTGTGTCATACTTTCTAAAAGTCTATTAAATTATTTAAACTGCATTGCATGCATTCTTCTCTGCTGTCCACAGGCTATCTATAGTGGTTGTTTTTTTTTCTCCAAACATTTCCCTATATAGTTCCACAAGTTCTCAAAGAGATTGAAATCTGGAGTTTGTGCTGGCTGTGCCATCATCTGAATTTCACACTTGATAGTGGTATGGCATCTTGCATTGTCTTGTTGACATTGCTAAACAATAGTGTGTGACTTGCATCTGAACAGTTATTTTTGACTGCCAGTTTATGTTGATTATGTTGCAGTAAGAACCCTCCATTTTATTGGTAAGTCTTTCCTAACATGCAGTTTAGAATATTTCAGGTTTAATTTGACAGGATTTACATTCTGGTTTGTAAATAGTGTGTTTTAGAGCATGATTATCATCATTTATATATTGAGAAATTAGACCTTTTCTGCCTAATTCTTTTCCTTTTGTGTTGCTGCATGGACAATTTGGTCATTTGATCAAGTTCTGTGGCACAATGATCAAAGTTGACAAATGTGAGAGTTTTTCTATAAAATTAGTAACTGTGGCAGATGAGATGGTAAACTTGCTGTAGTAGCAAGGCAGTGAACATTAAGATTCAGGTAATGTAAGACATGGTACTGATTTGAGATGATGCTAGTCTTGATGATCTTAGCTATGTTATCAATGTTGATGTTAAGGTCAGTATTGAAGTTACCTGGCTATCTAGATACTTTACTTCAGTTCGAAAGAAAACTTAAATAAAAATAGAATCACAGTTTTCTTTACGGTTTTGTTTGATGACCGAGGTAAGGGGTTGCACTTATGCTAGCTTGGTTGTGTTTATTAGCCTATAGCTCATTGGCTAGGCTGGCAGTCAGGATTACTTGACACGACAGGGATTCTTATTGGTTGTTTAGTGTATTTGTGTAATAGATGCTAGGTATTCTAGTGAGAGAATGTTGATGAATAAAAACAAAATGATATAAAACATGATATCCATCAACCCGAGAAGGCTGTGGAATACAGTGCTGTGCTACGGAGTACTGCACAACATGACAAATAACATTAAACTCTTGTTTTAGGCTGGTCTGCGCATTACACTAGAAAGGCATTTTGCCAGATTCAAAATTACAGTTAAAAAACAGAATCTTGATTCCTCAATAACAGCTAACTTTAGGCCAATTTCCAATTTGCCTCCAATTTCCAATTTGGAGAAATGTAATAATTTGTAATCCAGACTATTTACAATATGTTTTAGTCTATAAATAGTATGGAAATTACTTTTCTGAAAAATGTAGTTAATAATGAGAGACTAAAATCTGATATCAGTTATGTATGGATTCCTGATCTTGTCATGGTCTTCCTATCCTGGATCTGCCTTAGCCTGGCTTTGCTCTACTGTGGCTCCTCCCTCTCACTTTCCTGCTCTGTAGCCTGTGAGAGTCCTTGGGCAAGACTCCTAATACTACCTTCACCGACCTGTATAAAATGATCAAATTTGTTGCTCTGGACATTAGCGTCTGCTAGGTGCCATAAATGTGAATGTTCATTTGTGTCTGGTTTAACCACTTCCTTACCATCAGTCTCACTTGTGTCTTGTTCTGTCATTGATAGAGTGGTGTTTTGTTCCTTTGTTTCATTTTGTTGCGTGTTTTTTCTACTGTGATTCTGAGCTGAGTTTTCCCTCTTCTTTGTTGTTTTTGTTTTTCCTGTTTCCTTGTGTGTTATCTAGTTCTATTCTAGTTTTGTCTATTATTGCCTTTTCTCCAGATTGCTCTTTTTGTATTTGACTTTCCTGTCGCTAGCTGCCTGTGCTCTAACCTCCACCCCTTTATCCCCTAACCTCCCACCTTATGGATTTTGGTTATTTCCAGTAAATAGCCCTAATAAAAGAGACTTGTGCAGCCTTCTCCATGTAGCTGAGCTAGTGAGCTGCAAAGGACCATATATGGAGAGGCCACCACCACCCTGTTTGGCCACTGATGAGTTGTGCATCCAGCAGCCCCTCTCTCTACTAGCATTTCATATGATCATTTTTTTCATTTTATCCTTTGTCAGCAATTACAGTGGGACAGATGGATTTGAAGAATTTCACTTGAGTTTACAGTGCTCCATGAATTTTATGCATGTGATAAAATATCTTGTATTGGAGATTGGAGCCAAGGTAGCCATAGTTTCAAGACTCATAGAAAGGGCTCAAAGTGAGCTGCCACATTAACACTAGAAAATTATTCAACATACAGAGTTTTAGTTGGTTTGTGGCTATTCTCTGAGCTGTTTATCCCTTTTGTGGAAAGGGGATGCCAGGCTCCCCCTCCTCAAGCCAGAGGCCTCTACTTTGCCTCTTTGTTCCCAAGACTTGCCCCCTGTTCATCCTGCAACTTCAGCTTCCAAATCTCCTGTGCCGTCTGCCTTTGAGTCTATTGCACCACCGGTCTCCAAGCCTCCAGCACCTCCAGACCACTCCAACTTAAGGCGAGTATTTAATATCTTAAAGGGGTTGTTGAAGCATTATATTTAGATGTGGCTGTTGAACCTGTGTCCAAGCCTTATCCGGCTCCGGTCTCTGACTCTGGCCTGGCTTTGCCTCCTGACCTCCAGCCTGGCTTGGCCCCCTGACTCTGGCTTCCTGTCCCAGTCCAGAGTTCTGTTCCAGTGTCTGTTCTGTCTCCTGTGTCATTATCTGTCCTGTTTTCTGACCCAGTGTTTTTCACACTTCCTGCCCCACTATCATTCTTGTCTCCTGTTTATCTTTCAGTTGCTGTGCCACCCATCATGCCCTAACCACTGTGTCTGCCTATATATCTAACCTTGTTCTTCACTTAACTCCTGATGCCATTCTAGCCTGAGCTTTTTTCTTAACCTCAGTCACTGTCCTTGACCTAAATGTAGTCTCTGACTCTTCCTGTTCCAAACTGAGTTTCACTCCCTGAACCAGTCACAGCATCTGTTTCTGCTCCTCTTGCTGATTCAGCTCCCCTTCATGTATTTGAGGTGTAGGTGCAGCTCCAGTTTCTGCCTCTTTCCCAAGTCCCAAGTTCCATCTCTGTCCCTGTGACCAGTTCAATACCTCTCTCTTGCCCATATCTGTCTCCTGTCTCCTGCTGATCCTCTTGCCAAGCCAGCTCCGTCTCTTCTGTTGCCACTCCCTCCTCTGTCATCAAGTCAGTTCCTGTTCCTCTTACTCTGTTCCTGTCACTGCTAATGCTCCTATCTCTACCTCTGTGTCACTTCCTGGTCTGGTCCCAGTTGCTGCCTCTGTTCCTTTCCTAGTCTCTGTTGTATCCTGATCCTGGCCCTGGCCTTTGCCCTGTCATTGGCTCAAACCCATTGCCAACCCAGCCCTAGGCCTTGACATTAACTTGCCCTTGCCTCTGGTCCTCCCCTGTGGGTCTGGATTATGTGCTCTGGGAGCCATGAGGGAGTGGGGGATATGGGAGCTCTTTCATGGTCTCTCTGTCCTGGCTACACCTTTACCTGGCTTTGCTCTGCCCTGGTTCCACTCTTTTGTCACTCATTATGTTCTCCTGCATTTGGTTTATCTCATCAGTCTCGACTGCATCTAGACCTGTTTCTTGTTTTGTTTTGTTTTGTTTTTTTATCTGTTACAAGACATACATTGCTGTAAAATGGGGAATGGGATTGTGTTAGGTTAGAGCTTGTGAGTTCAGCTCAGCATGCTGCTCAATGTAGCAGGAGAGTGAAATAGATCAGAAAAAAAATAAACTATTAATAAATAATACATATCTTTTTCATTTTCAGTTGACTTCAAGTACTATAAGCATTACTTTAATCTGAATTATAAAGAATATTTCATAAAGCAGTCACATTTGCCCTGAGGACAGCAGTACATGGCATGTGTTGGTGGCAGTCAAATAGCAAATCAGCATGAAGCCTGGGGAGACACACACAATGAAAAATATTTTTGCCTTATGCCTTAAAGTACACTATGTACTATAGTGTAGTACGGGGTTCAGTACTTGTCCCCTTCTTTATATGTACTTTACCCGATATTTTTGGGCAAAATTATTGCTGAGCATGAAATCAATTTCCATATTTGCAGATGGTATTATCTGTAGCTTGGATAATTGTAATCCTGTTGATCAGCCAGTGGTCTGTATTATTAGCATAACAGAGAAGTACTACTATTTACCTGGGAAGGTAAGAAGAATAAAATATTAAGTAAACTGAAGCAAAAATCAAGTTATTTTTGACACAGAGTTGTCATTAAATTTAATTCACACAATAGTAATGTTATTATGACATTAGTAACATAACTCAGATTTAGGTATCCTTTGTCAAAGTTAAGGAGTTGATTCATGCTTTTGTCTTCTCTCACCTCGACTGTTTAAATGCCCTATTTACTAGTTTACCTGAAAAGACTATTAACACATTGTGCAAAGTGCTACTCTCACAAATTCAAGAATGAACACTACTAGAGATGCATCGATACCTTTTTTCAGACCTAGTACGAGTATGTTTTTTATTGCTTGCCGACACAGATTCCGATATAAAAAATTACTGTCCAATCATTAAAATTTAGCTGATTTTATATCACATATATTAGCTAGTAATGCTGCATTAGTTACCTTGGATCGAACTGCACTGCAGTAGAGAAAAGTAGTTTTGTTATATATCAGAAAAGTGCTTCTGTACATTTGTAAGTAAAGTACAATACATAGTTTTGATGCTTCTCATCTGTGTCTTTCATCAGCAGTTCTCTGTAGCACAGTGACAGCCAGAATCACGTCCAAGGAGCACACTTGTGGAATTTTAGGTCTGAAATCTTTTGATTGGATGGTGAGCTGCAATTGACATATATTTGAATTGAAAAACATACACATAGACTGCAATTTTAGAAATCTTGTTTTTTGGTGAGAACAGAGTAAAGTTAGCAAAAAAAATATTGTTTATACTTTGCAGCTGTCAAACAGAGTTAAGTTGGCATATACAAACTTTGGTAGCAAATGTCAACTTTTCCGCCTCCATTTGGTTAGCCTGCGTTCCTCCACCCATACTGGGGGAGAGGTTGTGATTGTGTGTGTTTAAAAATGGGCTAAAATCACACAGTGTAACCTGGCAAGAATCGGCCAAGGCAGAATGTTTAAAGTAACCAATGGCTTTGTGTCCAACCGCCACAGAGTCAGTAACACTTCTCTGTGTGAGCAGAGCCTACTTCACTGTCAGCTTTAGTCATTTGTTTATTAGTGAAGCAGTATACACACAGCTTATGGCACACAGTATTAACAGGTATCGGAATGTTGCTATCTATGGTTATGAATACGAGTAAATTGGCCTGAGACCAGTATCGGTATCAATGCATCCCTAAACATTACACATATTCATGAATCACTGCACAGCTTGCACATTTTGTTTAGAAATGGTTTGGCACCTCCATGCATAGCTGACAAGCTATATACCAGACTGCACAGAGCAAAGCACAAGAAATGCAGCAAATTCACTGTTCTAATGATGCAACATTGCACTTTTTTTTTTGCCTACATAGATGAATGAAGCACCTTCTGCTGACCATTAAAAATGTCTTAAAATGTATTCCCTTTACCTTTCAAGTAGTCTTTGCCTTCTTTGTAGTCTTTTGTTTTTTCTGCACAAGATTAATTACAGATTAATAAGAGAATTAAAGGTTATTATTATTATTATTATTATTATTATTACTATTATTATTGCAGAAACATTTGTCAGGTAGACTGCTTGTCCAGTGTGCAGAACTAATAACACACAACAATTCATATCTACAGATGGAGATTTGGAGAATTGAGTGTGTGTGTCCACTTTTAGCAACGCTGTTCCTTGGAGTGGTGATCCTTGGCGCTGGAGTGAGTATATATTATATATATATATATATTATAGTATATATTCACTATAGTTCATTGCTATATATTGCAGCCTATTCTATGTGTAAACAGCCTGCTGTTAAATACTAGAGCTCTCTCTCTATAGGCATTGTTCTGCATTAGAATTTTGGTGCCAGGAAGCTCCACTGGCTTCCCTGATGACCGTCGTCAATCTATGAGCAGACAGCCATCCTTCACTTACTCAGAGTGGACTGATGTTAAGCAGGATGATTTCTATGAACTTGATGCAGTTCCAGAGACACCTGTATTTGACTGCTTTATGGATATGAAGACAGAAAGTGACCCTACTACTCTCACAGTCAAACCCGTGGGCCTGCAAGAAAGGTGACTCGTACATTTCACCTCTCAGTAATTGAGCTACATGTATATGTTTGAGAAACAGAGCAGTTTTTGTATTTGTGTTTCTGTAAGAAAGAGACATTTATTAAAGAAATAATAAAGACAACATATATATTAAACAATGCTGGTTCATCATCTGGACTACATATAAAACAGTGGCACTGCAAATAGTCACTGTACGAGTTCTTACTAAGTCACTTGAATTACATTGGATTTATGGGAGCAGTGGATTTAAGTTAGCATATACTTTAAGATAGACTGAGATTAAGGTGGCGGTTGATTTAAGGTATCAGTAAATTTAAGGTATCAGTGGATTTAAGGTAGCAGTGGAGGCATTGACTTTAAGGGAGCAGTTGATTTAAAGCAGCAATGACTTTAAGGTAGCACAAGATTTAAGGTGGCAGTGGATTAAAGGTAGCAATGGATTTAAGATGACAGTGAATATAAAGTGGCAGTGGATTTAAGGTATCAGTGGAATTAAGAAGGCACTGGATTTAAGGGAGCAGTGGATTTAGGGGTAGCGATTAATTTAAGATTTAAGGTCAGTAAATTCAAGTGGGCAGTGAATTTAAGGTGGCAGTAGATTTAAGGTATGGGTAAATTTAGACTGGCAGTGAATTTAAAGTGGCAGTGGATTTCAAGTGGCAGTGCATTTAAGCTATCAGTGAATTTAAGGTGGCATTGGATTTAAGGTTCAGAAAATTAAAGGTGGCAGTGGATTTAAGGTGGCAGTGGATTTAAGGAATCATTAAATAAGGTGGCAGTGGATTTAAGGTACCAGTGAATTTAAGGTAGCAGTGTATTTAAGATATCAGTGGATTTAAGGTAACAGTGTGTTGAATTGTAAAGCAACCACCTAGCAACACTTTAGTGGCAACAACTTAGCAACACTTTACCAACCACCTTGGATACCATAGCAACCGCATAGCAACATCTAAGCAACATTTTAGCAACCATCAACAGTCTTCCACCATTTTAACATTTTAAGGTAATTAGCTGGCTTTTTCAAGCCAAGTTGAAGTTCATTCACAAACTTCTTATTAGTTGTTCTACTGAAATGATGAAATTAGAGACAGCATGAGTAAAATACATGGCAGCAGGATCTTACTTACTCTTGTTTTAAAAAAAATCTCCTTTTAACTTTTAAACATTTATGAAGAAACAATTAGGAAAGAAAGGGTGAGACATCTAAATCATTTAATACTTCAGGCTTGCTGGTTTTAGCTTTGTAGCTGGTGTAAATATGGTTCATCAATTATAGCTAGCTCAGCATTCAATCCCACTGTTTGAAAAAAGTTGGCTTCCACATCCTATAATTCACAACTTAGGCCTCTAGCAGCACTACTGTGTCTGGTCCTCTTGTACCAGCGTAACACTCACTAACACGCCACCACATCAGTGTCACTGCTGTGCTGGCAACTGGACCTGATGGACAATGGAGAATGACATTGGATTCAAGTAGATGTTCCTAATAAAGTACTCAGTGAGTGTTTATAGGTAGGGTACATAGGTAGTTAATTAGTATTATTCTTGGTTGAGAATGCATTACTATTACATAATGTGTTAGTTCTGTTACTCTGGTCACTAAAATGCAGCTTAACGTGACTCTGTTTTCTGAATGTTGTCACTGCAGGAGAGGCTCAAATGTATCTCTGACTTTGGATATGTGCACTCCTGGCACCACTGAGCCATATGGCGCACTGTTGTCTCCTCGAGAGCAGAGTGCACAACAGTACCTGGAGAATGCATCATATCTTCTCACTCCTGGACAGCTACACAAGCGTGCTTTAGACGACGCTTCACTGCAAGCTGAGTTCTATGTGAGCTTATTTGTATGTCATATATCTATATACAACACACACAAGACATTTTCTTTAACTGAATGCCAGTGGCGTCTCTGTCACAGAAAACCTGGTGGGGCACAATAAACTGTAGGGGCAGTAGCCGACTCGTCAATGAAACTACACATAAACCTTATCCAAACACAAACATACTCCATCAATGAAATCACAAATTCACAAATTAACGTACCTTGGTGCAGGAATTGGTGGAAGTGGAGACAGGAATATGAGTGATATGATAACAACATTAGATCTCACAAAACCTTGTTATACAGCATCACATTACAAATCCAAAGTTATCTATCAGTGTACGATCACTGTGGTCTGCTACATATCCAAAGCAACATATCAGAGCATAAAACACATTGCTTTCTGGGCATTATTAATAACATGACTTGTAATAATGCAGAATGACTCACCAGTGACGTTCACTCCTCAAAAAGAAAAGATGAACGCGGATCATTGATCCGGGCAAACTTGCCAAAAACTTTTCTCTTAAAGTCCACCAATCCATGAATGAATTCAAGTCATAGCATAGAAAGGTCAGCCAAGGAAAGCAGTTTTTAGCTACACTCGCAATTAGCCATTTTTTTCTCTTGAACTGCTCTAGAGTGTTTTAACTGCTCACTTGGTTAGATGATTGCTGACGGGCCGACCCCATGATCACCAAATGAAGATTGCTAGGAGAAATAGGTAACCTACTGGCATTAACACAACAGGTACAAGAAGATATTTGGAATGTGCATGATAAAATGTGCATTGTATGATGATTTACTTTATTAGGGCTGTTATGTATGGCAAGAGAGAGACCTTTCTATTGACAACCATGCATGACAGTTACCTGGAAAGTGTGCAGAGCCTCACTTACTCCTTGAGAAAATATTTGTTTGCTGCCCAGTGGTATAGGTTAAAATTAGGTAGACGTGGAGGAGCCACTTCTCAAAAAAGGAGCACTGATCATGGAGCATTAGAACATGGAGGGGTTAATGGTAGAGAAAGCTGTATAACAGTTATCTGTTCACGTGGTTTATAACATCAGATCGTTTAACTTCATTAGTAATGATTTACATTTCTGTCAGATTATTTCAGCTCTTTTTGAACTAAAGAAGCTGGAGCTCTGTTCTGTTCAATCTGGTACTTATATGTGGTACAAAACAAAACTCCCTGCAAAAATACAGATCAATCTTCATAATTTTCAGCATATTCTCCAGTTGCTTTTGCTATTATTCAATTTGTAGTCATCTTTGTAGGGCTCCTTCAGTATCTCCTCTAAGTTTTTTTAAAACAATAGACATCACAATGAATCTTTGCCAGTTGATTACTGATATTCTTACAAGCACTTTTTGTGTTTGAAGTTTTCCAAAATACTGTGTAGATATACAAATGAGACGTTAACAAATTAAATATGCATACATTTGCATATTTAAAAATCAGAGAAGTCTTTGAATGATATTAGTATGAAAGTTTTTCAGTGTGTTTATTATTATTATTAAATTCTTCTGTAATATTCTTCAGAATAGGGTTAGGAACAAACGTAACATTTCATGAATGCAGGTATTCTAGAATCTGAGTTTTCTGGTTGTGAATGTAGAGAAAAGCGCATTCTAAGAAAAACTATTTTAAGAATTATCTTCAGAATGGCATTACCCAGTGAGATCTCAGAAAACATGCACTGTTATTTTTTGTCATTATCACAAAGGAAATACAGATATTTGGACTAACTAGCAGTAACTAATTTTCAGAAAGTTTAATTCTGATATTTGTTTGTAGACACAGATCATAGCATTTTAGGCTCTTTCATCTTTGTTCTGCTTATTGCCAATATGTGTCATATTTATTGATTGCTGGATCCTCTGTTGAAGTGAGAAAAAAACGCTGATCAGTGCTGGCAGCAACATACTCATCGCTACTAAATACAGCACCCTCTCCTATAACAGACTTGTATGAGGGTAAATGCGCTGTGCTTTCCATAATCTCAGTTGTATGGAAAATGCTTTCACACTGTCAGAAGCTACATTGATGTGTTCGACTCCTGTGTGATGTAAAACGCTAAGTGCATCATTCATCATTAAGCTTAGGAACACGTGACCTGGCCTTGTTTATTAATTCCTCGATTACCTGTCTCAACTCAAAGAAACTCTTCTGCACAATGTCTCTGCTTAGCCAGCACACCTGTGTAAAAATCAAAGTTTATTTATATACCGCTTTTTACAACTGGTGTTGTCACAGAGCAGCTTTACAGAAAAATTCAGGTCCAAGCCCCCATGAGCAAGAAAAAAGCGTTTTCCAAGAAGAAGAAACCTTGAGAGGAACCAAGACTCAAAAGGGGAACCCATCCTCCTCTGGTCGACAAAACAGCGTTAATATAAAATACTAAAATACAGAAGCAGGAAAAAACAAATGAAGCAATGGTTATAAATAAATAGACTGAGTCTGTGCAGCAGCAGCAGCAGCATCGTCAGGAGGGTGAGTTCATGCAGGTTAATGCACAGCATTGTACAGCGTGAAGCTCAATGGTGGTCAAAATGGTCCAAAAGGCTGGCGAGCAGTGGGCACCCCAGAAAGGCAGAAGAAGCAACAGCATCAGATCGCACAGGATGGGCAGTTGTTTAATTCTGCAAAGAAAACACAGAGAGAGTTAGTTCTGTAAAGAGTGACTGATTACAGTTTACCGGGTTAACAGAGTGCAGCAGAGACTCCGGCAGGTCTGGTTATTACAGCCTAACTAAGAGAGCCAGAAAGGTAACAGAGACATGAGGGCTCCCTGAGATGTCAGCACCCCTCATCTCCACCGTCAGCAAACCTGAGTGAACGCGTGAGAGCAGCGGGACGACAGCACCAACATTCCCAGTTCACTATAATACTCTATGTCCATGAACCTCCAGATCTGCACCTTCTATCTAACAGGGAAAACTAATTATCAAAGACTTGACTAAACAAGTAGGTTTTTAGTCTAGGCTTAAAGACTGAGGCTGTGTCTGAGTCCCGAACACTGACTGGAAGATTATTCCAAAGCTGAGGGGCTTTGTATTAGAAGGCTCTTCCCCCTGATGTAACTTCATTAGTTCTAGGTACTAAAAATAAGCCAGCACCTTGTGATTTAAGTAGGCATGATGGTTCATAGTGAGAGAGAAGTTCACTCAGGTACTGAGGGGCGAGGCCGTTTAGAGCTTTATACATCAGTTAAAGAATTTTGTAATCCATGTGAAATTTAGGTGTAGGTTTGTTAAAACTGGGCTGATATAATCAAACTTTCTGGTTCTTGTGAGGACTCTGGCTGCAGCGTTCTGGACTAACTGAAGCTTGTTAAGGCTTTTGCTGGAACATCTAGACAGCAGGGCATTGCAGTAATCTAGCCTTGAGGTAATAAATGCATGAACTAGCTTTTCTGTATCCTGTAGGGACCGTGCATTTCTTAATTTAGCAATATTGCGGAGATCAAGAGCTATTCTAGTAATATTTATTATATGTGCATCGAAGAACAGATCAGGATCTATTGTGACACCAAGATTTTTTACAGATGTGCCTGATGCATCTGAGAAACTATTAAGTTTAAGTGTTAAATTAGACAGTTTGTTTCTAGCAGCTTTTGGACGAAGAAGCAGAACCTCTGTTTTATCTGAGTTGAGAAGGAGAAAGTTACTCAACATCCAGACTTTTATGTCTATATTTTATGTTATACAGTCATCAATCTTGCTGAAGTTGAAATTTACCATCTGGTTTGGTTTATATATATATATATATATATATATATATATATATATATATATATATATATATATATATATATATATATAAAACTGTGTCATCAGCATAGCAGTGGAAATTGATGCCGTGTTTACTGATAATGGTGCCCACTTGTAGCATATATAATGTGAATAATATAGGTCCTAAAACAGAGCCCTGTGGAACACCATACTTAACTTTAGCAAGAACAGGCAATTTGCCGTTTACATTTACAAACTGATAGTGATCAGTCAGGGACGATCTGAACCAAGAATGAGCTATTCCTGTTACCCCTACAAGGTTTTCTAGTCCAGTCTAGTAAGATAGAGTGGTCTATCGTGTCAAATGCCACGCTAAGATCAAGGAGGACTAGCAAAGATACATTTCCTTGGTCAGAGAATAATAAGAGATTGTTTACAATTTTCACTAGTGCTGTCTCTGTACTATGATGTGGCCTAAAACAAGACTGATTTTTTTAATATATATGATTCCTATGCAAATAGCAATTTAATTGATCTGCCACAATTTTTTTCCAAGATCTTTGACGTAAAGGGAAGAAAACAAGGCATCACCATATGCTGCTTCAATTTCTACAAAAAAAAAACAAAAAAACACAAAACTGGCAGTGTTATAAGCTTTTGATTTGATGTAATTAATGCACTACAACTGACATAACATGGTCAAATTTTAAGCATGTCTGTCTGCTGATGAATAATGCAGTTTAAAGGAATAGCAAGGTGTTCATTCTCTTCCTCCAGCTTTCTCTAAATCAGTGCTATTAGACAGTTTTTCCTAGGCATTGTGCACCATCTGTGGTCATTCCAACCAGTTTATCCCCGGGCAGACCAGACAGCATGCAGCTCCTGAAATATATCCTTGGCAGAATCACTTAGAAGTGGAGGTCAGGTATGTTTTATGTAAATAATAAATGTAATTTTATTGATGGTAAGCGTTACAGTATATATCCCTCTTAAAACCAGGATAAATTGGACGAATGGATATGGAAGGTTAAGTATGGGACAATGTGTACTTTAAAGGCCTGATAAACTTGTTAAAAACATAGCTAGCCTAAACTGCTGCACCACACTGCATTGGGCATGGTTTTAGCCTATAGCTAATTAGTGAAGTAACATAAAGTTAATTTACACCACACAATATGATGTTTTCAGACCCGACCTGAGACACTGCCAAATGTGGTCCTAGATCTGATACATATCCAGTGCATGGCCATGCAATTTTAATGAGAACGCTCT